TATTTAATATTCTCTAGGCATGCAATATTAACTATTTTACACTATCTACAAATCTGTATTGTTTCGCGAAAAAAAAAAATACAAGAATGGTTAGCGCTATGTTAATCAATATTTAAGTTAATTTGTGGTTAACAGACGAAGCGTTATAGAAAGTGAACGATGGGTATGCCTATATATTTATTTATTTAAACTTTTTGCACAATGAGTATACAACGGCACTCTTAATGTCTGTCGGCATTATTTAAGAGTCGAACTTAGGGTGATGCAGAGAGACATAAGGTGTAAAAGTTTAACATTGTTGAGTTTAATTTAAGTTTAAATAATATAAATTTTCTAAATGTTTCATTAACTTCATTTACGTTTTGCATAAAATTGGAGGCTTATAACGTTGTTATGGTACGCGATTGTTAGGGGTCGTAATCGATGGAAATTTGGGGGAAAAGTGACGTAAACATAATTTGATTTTAACTTAAAAATGTGAAAGCGATGGTAGATTGATATTAACCAATTACTCCACATAGTCTCTAATGACCGATTTTACATTAAATCAAAGAGGCTTGGAGTACAGCTAAGGAAAAGCAGTTCCCAAATTGTTCATTCGCTGCAATGTATTTGTGCGATTAATCGCCGCTGTCAATGTAGCAACTTGCGGTTTGCAATTCTACCGCAGAATAAAACCGCCATTGCGTATGGCGGTACTGAATTCTTTAGGCTATCCATTTATAAATGCTTTGGATCATAGTGTGGTGCTTAGGTACATCATTATATGAGTCTACAAATACAATTGGCCCTATCAAATCTTATGAAATGTGAGGAGATATTATGTAGTAACTTACAAATCCATAGTGTCAAAAAAGCTCACTATATTTATACCTATGTTCTAAATTTAAAAAATGTATCCAACATAAGGTACAATAAAAAAGGCCGAACCGTTATGATCAATCCAAGAACAAATAACTTTCCTAAACAATAACAAAATGAACAATTCTGTTTCCATGGCAACGGGACAGTTAACGTGTATTTCAAACATGGATTCCACTTGGAACTAATCCATAGTCTCAATATAGTTGTCGTTTGATTAATTAGAGGCTATCTAGCGCAAAGGGTTAATCCAAATACGAGAGTTACACTAAAACCGACCTTATTGCTTACGAAATAATGATGTTAACGTTTCAAATTTGCCGGTTCACAGGCGGTTGACTGACGATCGCTGTACCTTTGATTGACACACCTGATTGCTTTGGTTTTGTCTGTTTATTTGCTATCTACCTAGCAGATAAACGTATAGTTGTTTTATTAGTATTGCAACATATATTGTAATACATCAACTACACATATTTTTAAGTCGTTGACTCTGATTCTTTAGCAAATATTTTTAATTCGATTTTATAACGTAAAAAAGTTTTGAGCAAATATTTGTATTAGTTATTGAGTGATTTTAAAACTCTTATTTTGCTCAATTAATAGCAATAATGGCACATAAATATTTCGTAAATGAATTAAAATACACAAACACGCCTAATGTAGTTTGTCAAACTGTCATTTCAACAATTTTTTTTAAATAAGTTCTTTAAATGCAATCGAATGAAGATTGACACGCCCCTTGCACAACAAAATTGCAAAATATTTTCTAACCATACAAGTAGTTACACCCACTACAATTTTTTTCAATACATCTGTGAGTAAAGTACACAATAAATATGTTTTCCCTGTTAACCCTCTTGTACTACAGATAAAACAATTTGAACAGCGTGATACCAAAGTGCTCTTTGTACCCCTAGATGTGTACGTGGATAGACGCACATGAACCTACGCCATTTTATATTATACACGTCAATAGGTTTTCGATCTTATATCAAAATTGTTAAAGTTGAAAGTCTATTAAAAGTTTGATGGATTGTGCAAAGTTGACCTTCTGGATGTAATAATTGTAGCCGCGTCATCAACGCGTGCGCTTGACATGAAAGTGCTTTGTTTGTGCTCCAATGAATTCAAGGGATATGATTTTTTGGACAAAATTGATGCTGTGAATCACTGTGTCTTTTTGTATGTACTGAAATCATTTCATAAAAGCCTTGGTGCTAGCAGCAATTAAAAAGTATGATGTATTAAACAATACCAAAATAAATCTTGTTTGCAATATTTTTTTACAAAACTTAATTGATAGAAATCACATAAAAAGTAAAAAGAAATATTGTGAAATTGATGACACAATGGATGTAATTATTACGAAATATATACGCGTCGAATGCACCTGCAAAAATATTTTTAAAGTCAAATATTTTAAAACAATGATCTCGGTCGACAAGTAAACGTTGCAAATGTAACGGAAAGGGTGGGTTTCGGAGTGCAGAGAGTAATATTGTGTAGTGTCGAGGGCGGCGGTGGGGGTCGCCAATCGATACGCACCCCTCTGCTCGGCCTAATGCACCCCTAACACGACGGTACACAGCTCGCACCAAACGCAACGCTATGGAAACCATACACTCTATGTGTTCCCAGCTTAAAACCAGGTCATTTGCATAGTCAGCAGTCAGCCAACTCAGGCTCCAGGCTACTTTGTTTAAAAACACACGCAGAGAAACAGTTTGTGTGGCAAAAAATGTTTAAATATTAAGTAACCTCTTAAAAGCGCTTCCCAAAGCTTTGAATGTAAAATAAGCCACTATTGCATTGGAGACGTCCCCGTGCGGTGCCCGGAGCGCCAGCTCGCTACTCTGCCTCCAAAATGATTTATATTTTATAAAACTGTTTTATAAAATATCTAGCTGATACGCCGGTTTTGCTCGGACAAAATGTATTCCAATTTCATCCAGTTAGAAAATTGCATTCATATTTTTTACAGTCGTATTTTAGTTTTATTTATAAAAAATGCTGGCGTAAATATTTTTAACGTGGGATAGGCATTTCGGTGATATTTTGAGGGCTGATAACGGTTGTTAAAAAGTCCGATATTTTTTACCACCGTCATGTTATGACATAGCCGGCGGTAGTGGGTACTGTTATAGTATCAGTACATCATTATCGTACACAAAGAGCCGGGCTCGGCACAAATGGACTCAATTGAAATTTTCTTCAAAGACTTCGGTTGCCACTGACCTAAAAACAAATTCCGGAATAGTTAAGACTGCTTTGTAAACACAAAAGGGTTGCGATCGGGAAAATTCCAATGCATACAAAAAGATAAATGTTGTAACACGAAAAAGCAGTTATTAAAACATTCTTCATTTTTCTTTCATTACTTCCCCTTTGAAGCGCTTTCATAGTTTTCTCGAATAAAATGTGCATTGAAGAAAATTTTGTAAGGCCGATAGAAAAGTCGTCTTATATTAGTGTTTTAAATGCGTTTATCTGAAGGTAATACGTTTTTCTTAGGCTCTTATTTCATTTTGTGAAGAAACTTTTATTATTTTTCTTTAATATTATCCTGAGAGACGATTGGCCGTTACAAAGGCATTGTATTCTATTGAGGGTGATAGTGATCGTTCCCTACAATAAACGCGGGAGAGAGGCCGCCATTATAATCTATTAAAGTCTCGGATACGAGTCTTGCCTCACTAATGTGATTTTTAAAACATTTTCCAGCGTATATTTAGGTACTTTGTGTGTATAACAAACAGGCTAAATGCAATTTTATTCTGCTCGATACAGAAGGGATTAATAATAGAAATTTTAAATTTCATTTACTTGTAAGAAAAAAAAAATTGACGAAGTAGGTCTATTTGTGGAGTTACGTAAAATGTTCGAGGTCTATTTTAATTTGTATGGGGCTTAGATAGAGCAGCATTTGCATCGATTCACAAGTCATCCTGTCAGTCCCACGTTGGGTGCCAATTTCGGCAATAAAGCTGTGGGCCCCATGTTGGGTGCCAACCGGTAAGGCTTAATTTAAAACGAATCATGAATTTGAAATAGAACTGACTATCTATCTGCTAGTAGTGAAATACTAGAAGTTCTTGCTAAGCTAGATTTAAACTTACTTAAAGTCGGTACTATGATAAGTTACAACTAAATAATTTTAGCATTACGAGTAAATTAAGAAAGACATAGGAAAGATAGAAAGAGGTAGTTACAAGTTCTCACCACAAAGTATTACCGATGGGAGGAGTATATTAAATTTTGGCTGAAAAAATGAAATAAAAAGTCGTGTCAATTGAAGCTAGGGACCGGCGTCAGCGTCGATTTCCACGGAAAACTGATTTCCTGCACGTCTAGACACGTTTTCCCCTTTAAAATTATGTTGCACGATTTATTTGATAATGTTATTTGTAGGTTATGTTCCCCTGAAATGTTTTTTTTATCTTTCTAACCTACTGTCTCCTGAGGTATTTCTTAAAAAGCAGCTAGTCTCCGGTTTAAATACAAGTTGGTATTTAGCCATTAAATGCAAGTATTCATAAAAAGGAAATATAAACAATGAAGTAAAAGTACACTTATATTAAAATCTTATTTTATTGTGATATAACAATGGATGCAAAACAACAGATTCCAGCTCAGACTATAATAAAATAATAATAATAAAAATGTTTTAACGAGAACACTACAACAAATGAAACACATTTTCAATTTGATAGCGACATTAATTATAATTGAGATCAGACAGCATTGTTAGTGCCGCCAAAATGTAGTTATTAGTTTAACTTTATCATTGAACAATTGAAAATAGGGCGACAGGGCGCGAGAATTGATCAAACAATAGTGCTTACCTGCAGAGTAGCTGGGGGTATGGGGGTAAAACTTAGACATTCAATTAGATGTCTATACTTATACTATACCTACACTAGTGTTTTTACCCACGCCTACGTTAAAACAAAGGGGTAACGTCCCTACTTTACAGCTGTTTTATTACAAAGGTAAAGAAATGACGGGTCTCGTCTCTCTTCTATGTAATTCTGTCAGTGGAATGAGACTGTTTTGTAAATTCACGAGACATGTTGAGAATGAGTGGTTAGAGAAATTTTGTTTTCATGATTTCTTTTTTTGTAAAGCAAATTGCATTCAGCTGACGTATATATATAAGTAATACATTTGTACATTTACAAACTGAAAAGTAATTTATTTGTTGTTAACTTATTACACACGAAATATCACAAATTATTACACCTAGAGAGCAAAACGATTGGTAGAACAAGACATAAATTCTCAAAAAGGAAACAGACCGGAAAAATTACCGATGTTTCTGTGAATACAGTTCTAGGCGAAGCAAATTTATTTACTTTATTTTATTTGCGACACGTGTTTTTGCTATATTTGTAAGTTAATTTACACTGTCAAGTATATTTATTGGCGTGAAAATGTTCCTAGATAAAATGAAAAGCTATTTCATTACTATTGTTGAAATCTTCCAGCATGAGAGCGAATCGGCTTCGGCTAGGAAATGACGACGTATGAATACTGAATGCGACTAACTGTTTTCGCAAGGCAGACAGAATGGTGGACGGCCCATTTCATGCACATTTCACTGTGCGTATTCCAAGACCCAGTGGTCAGGAGCTTGACAATAGCGGACAATACGACATTGAATGCATAAAACCAGTTGTATGACGCACACACACATCGGCGACGCTGCAGGACGGCCATTGAGTGACATTACAAAAGGTATTGTGAGCGCCGGGACTAGTTTATCTCGCGGCCATTCGTTGAGACTGTTCCGCACTGATAACGTTCAAACGTCTATCATTTGTGGCCACCGCATCATGACACTGATAAAATGTGGTAAACACCAATCTCGTCAGATTATCGTCGAACACATTTGTTAGTACCAATACGCCGTGATTCCTTGACTTTGACTTATTTGACTCGTTCGTGTGCGTCACAACGAAAATATCTAATCATGGGACCGCAATAATTCTCATTGTGATTTTCCGTTCTTTGCTACATCGATTCAGGTGTAAGAGTATCTAAGGAAGCAGAACATTGAGATGGTGTTTATCCGTTTGGTTCCCGTAATTTATCTTATAGATAATGAAATTTGTCAGTTTTACTATTGATAGGTTGTAGAGGTTTAAGATAAATTCTGATAAGTCAGTCGTGATCTGACCGTGAAATCTTGCGACCGTGATACTTACAAAATCTATTAAAAGTGAAATCTGTGAATGATGCCTCCAAAGAAAATATCACAATGTCATCAAGCATTGGTTGAATTAATCTATAAATTGGCTGGAATCTGTAATATGCAACTAAGTGATTACGTCGTTGAAATAGGGTGTGATGACGTAGATAGTTTTTTGACTGGTTTATTCAAAGTGCAACTGAAAGGGAGTGTTAATGGACAAAAGATTAAAAAGAAATTAGTGATAAAGTGGCACCAGGAGTCGAAAATGCGTGTGTGCTTCAGAGATGCTTACAGAAGAGAATGCATTTTTTACAAACTCATCTCGCCAAGCTTATTGGATATCCAAAACAAAATTGTCAACATGGAAGGTTTGAAAATGAGGTTTCCAAACTGTATTTATGCTAGTGACGAGTATGATAAAGAAACTATTGTGGTGCAAGATTTGAAACAAGATGGTTTTGGACTTCGGGATAGGCTTTTCAAGACGAATTTGGAGTACGTTTCCCTGGTTATGAGAACTTTGGCGAAATTACATGCTCTGTCGTATGTGCTACAGAAAACGGATCCTAAGAAATTTGAGGAGATAGCTTGTTTGTGCGAAGAAGACGTGCAGTACTGTAAGCCAGGACCTGCTCCAAAGAGTATGAAGTCTTATTACGAAGCGTCCGTTCACGTCGTACAAGATGCAGACGCCAGAGATAAGCTGACCAGACTGACTCCAGATATTCTGACAGTGTTGTATAAATGCACGCGGTCAGATAAGTACAGCACCATTTGTCACGGTGACTGCTGGAACAACAATATACTCTACCAACACAGGGTAAGGATAATATTGTTTTCTTCTAGACGTGTAAATCTGCATTAACGCAGTATTTTAAAGTAGAATTTTTTTGTTTATTAAAAAAAAGTATTTTGCTAAATGAGTTGGTTTCGCGATATATATTCATATGCATTTTTATTCATGCGCTATTATTTTCTATATATCGACTGTTCTAAATTGTAAAAGTTGACAATGTCAATGAATAGGGACTTAGGATAAAACAACAGAAAAATAAATACTTTCCTGCCTTACCTTGGTCAGTTACAAATGACGCCAATTTTAGTGAAAGGCCCTTACTATAACTTAAATCTTTGTTTACAGGGTTGTAAGCCAGTGGACGTGGTATTTGTAGATTACCAGCTGATGCGGTTCGCGTCTCCAGTCACCGACATTGCATACTTCTTATACATGTCCACCGATGGAGAATTCTTAGACAAATATTACAACCAAGTGCTCGACATATACTATGGGACATTAACGGCAGTACTTCGACATTGCAATTTGGACGTTGACACAGTATACCCTAGAAACATATTCGAAAAACAACTCAAAGAATATTCGGTACTCGGACTGATAGAGGCTTTAGTCTCAATGATGATAATAACGGCGCCATATGAAGACGCCCTCAAAATGACTGAGATGAAATATGAACATTGTGAAGAGGCTCATGAAGATGAGTCCAGGGATAACTTATTGTTTGTAGAAAGAGTTAACGGAATTGTAAACGACTTTTTTAAACGGAATTATTCTTTAGACGCTTTATTAACTGAGTAAATGATTACACTAGAAAGTCTTGTCTAATTACCTATTTTATATTTAGACAAAAATAAGGTAATAAGTTTATTAAACCCAAAACAAAAGCACGAAGAGAAATGAGAAATTAAGTTTAAGATTAGGTGTTTGCCGCCGTAGTGTCTGAGATAATCCTTATTTTCATACTGACGCGGCCATTCTTCGGCATAAAAAGTGTTGTTTGCGACTAGAAGTGCTGTAATATCGGCCATACCTTGTCCTCAGTGGAAGTTTAATCTAGTTTTATGTTTTTATGTCCTCACAAAAGAAATATTAAGGAACGACCGTCGGCCCGGCCTTGGGAAGGAATTAATTCCTCGTCGCTGCAGTTAATTGTCTGTTACAAAGGTTTTTTCTTTGAATCTCGGTCGAGACGAACGAGAACCTTTGTTGAAAAGAAAATAATGGCTCCTAGAACAGATGGATATTTAACAAACCCAGCTGTGATGGTATTATAAGCATTTTTAAGATAATTAAATTGCCCCTTTGAATAAATTTATTTATTAAAATGTTGTTGATTGAATTTCTTTGTGGATGGTAGTTCTCGTAGTTGTAAGTACGTAAATATGGATGTCGTGGTGAAGTCTTTACTTTTTGTTTTAACCAAATACTTAAGAGTTATCCACCCGTACCAAAAACATACTACTCTGTCCTGACTTAAAAGTACCGTACAAACAATCACACAATCACATTCAAAATATCGGTTAGTATTTACGCTCAATGCTAATATGGAAATACTAAACATAATTGCATTCACGCGAATCATTAAATTCCAATGTAACATTATTTGGCCGCATCAAATTATTCAGTGGCCAACCTAAATATTATGCATTGCTAATTGACAAATAGGGAATGTCATCTCGTTTATTCATAGTTAATATTCAATTTAGTAACTTCTATTGACAGTAAAGGTCATTTTAGTTTGAAATTTACGGTTGAGCCTTTGATGAATTACTTAGTAATAGAAACTAAAGCATATAATTTGTCAAGTAAATGATAGTGGAACGCCTCAGAAAAACTTTTTAAACAATTTTGTACTGTATTTGTAAAGGCACATTCCAAGGAATGTGGCATTGTATCAAAACCTGATTGGATTGAGCGATCACCGAAGGGGTAGGCAGAGGTGCACATTACGGCACTTAATGCCACTGTACAATGTAACACCCACTATTAATAATTATTTATGTTATAAGTACCATGTATGTAATAGGGGGTTTGTTGTTATGTTGGCTGTTATGTAATAGGGAATTGTAAACTCCGTGATACTACCGAATTCTTTTTAAAAAACCCAGCAATAAATTGTCCCACCCAGGAATCGTACCCGAGATCCCGTTCCCGACTGCTGGGCTTGCAACTTGCAAACGAGGCAGTCTGAATCAAGAAGATCTGAATAACCTATAGCGTATTATTAATATTAGTTATTGATTAGGGATTTAGTAGGGGTAGGCAGACTAGGACAGACATATTGTGCCTGTTTTTATGCCACTTTTCGCCCGTTATGTCATAAGTTCCAAGTGGCCAGTCTATCCCCATATGTCAGGCACAATTCCTATTACTTATCGAAAACAAATAACCCCCAAACAACACTACTTATTATACGACATTAAAAAACAAAATTACTATTATTACTTTTCGTCGTCTCGGTAGCACATTTGCCTAAATTAATACTGCGTCATTTTCGATATTTCGAAAACAATTTCGCTTTCAAACTAAGTGGAATTGTTTGCTTAGTTCCTGAGGCTATATTAAATCTTACTTTGTGGCGGCTTCTGAGGGGTCTTTGCTGTCGCGTTATGTGAATATGTACACTGAATATTGTTTTTAACGTGGTTTTATTTAAAACGAAATGTTTGTTGATCTTAAGTACAATGTTTGTGTAAATAGGATTTGCTTTCGTGGTTTTATGTAAGAATCACACATGTCTATGTTCGTAATGGTTTACTTCTAAGTATTACAAATTAAGTTGGTTTAAAAGGAACATGTATGATATATTGACATAATCATAATGAGAAGTATTCTATTCATTATTAATTTATTTACACTTTGTTTTTATAATAACTATTGTGAGACGTACTAAATTAACTAAAAATTGCGGGTTACTCAGGGTGTAGGCTGCACGCTGCTCATGCGGAAGAACTCCTCTGTGGTTCGAAACGAGTAGACCTTTTCTCCGTATTAATCAGAGTAATCCAAAATTTTTAGTTTTTTACACTTTAGTATAAAACTAGCGACCCGCCCCGGCTTTGCAAGGATGCAATATGCATGTACTTATTATACGTATAAACCTTCCTTAAGAATCACTCTATCTATTAAAAAAATCGGATCAAAATCCGTTGCGTAGTTTTTAAAGATCTAAGCATACATAGGATCAGACAGACGGCGGATAGCGACTTTGTTTTATACTATGTAGTAATACACTTACTTCGGTAGATTAGAAAATCTCCACAAGATAGATACAAGAAGTCCATTGTAGAAGTCTCCTTCTTAGAGTTTTAGATCTTTCAAATATACTGATAAAGGTCACAGTGACAAGATTCAAAATCATTTAAAGTAATAAAGATATTTAATTCACTAGTCTACTCTAGAGTGACGTGACTACTGACGTTATTAACCTTAAATGATTTCAATTCGTTTATAGCTCTATTGTATTTGATTTTCATTTTATTGTAGTATGAATTGTTAATAGTGTTGTACTGAAATAATAAGTACTATTGAGACATTGCTTTGTTTACTATTGTAATTTATAGTTTAGGACAGACAGAGCAATTTAGGTCCAACGCGATTAGATACATATACGTATACGATTGTTTCGTGAAAAACAAATTCGAATAAGTTTAAGAACGATATATCAAGAGAAAGTCTTAGTATGGGGGTAATTCTTTTATTTATGAAATAAACGTTGCCCCACACTAGTATTTTCTTCTATGTCGTGGTTGTGTTTACAAACATACAATTTCACAAACGCGTGACACCCAGACCCGGATCAACAATTAATGGATTACACAAAGAGTTGCTCTGTGCGAGAATCGAATCCGCGACACGTTGCGCTGCAGCCGGTTGCCGAGATACCGCACCAACCGTGCCGTCATTTTTCATATAAATATAAGCCATACGCTTACATATTATGAATGTATTATTTTGAGTGTGTTTGTATGACGAAGTGAATATACTGGTAATATTTTTTCCCTCACATAAAAAACGATTTAAATAAATTTTGCTTCAAAAACAAATGGAAATTTGAAGACGGTTAAAGGACAGGGGCTTTTTTGCACGAGTGAAGCCGCGGGCTAAAGAAAGCTATTATGTATTTTGTGCAACGAAATTAAAAGAAAACTCTCACTGTTTACATTAGCCGCGTCTCGTTTCCTTGTAGAAGAAAACTCGGTGATATTAGACAAATTCTTTAGCAAAAACTCAAATTTTTTAAAGTTCTTGTTCAGTGATTTCAAGAAATAAAATGTCTTGAAGTTTCGTTTACTATTTAAACCTTTTTTCTTTTAATATAACTAGAATATGTTTATGCAATGGAGCATTTGCACTTAACTTAAATTCTTGTATCATCGTCATCAACAGCCTATAAGGGGCCACTGCTGCTGCTACTATAGGCCTTCTCTCACACGGAGAAGATTTGAGCATTGATTGCCACGCTTGCTTAGTGTGGGTTGGCAATTTCAAACATATTATTAGAAATTATAAGGTAGGTTTCCTTCACCGTTTGTCAGTAGTGTATAAATAATCTTAGAAAGTACATATAAAACTAGGAAAACGTCACATTGGTACTTGCTTTTGGTAGGTTTCGAACCAGCACCCTCATGCATGAGAAGCGGCGTTTTAAACCTCCGAGCCACCACGACTCACATTACATTGTTTGATATTTCCTAATAATAATAGATCCTAATAAAATTACAACAGCGGTGTAATTAGTCAATACTAGCTTCACTAATATTTATTGATCTCAGCCTGTATTATACCGTTCAGTATCAACTTGTAACAATAATGGGGGATGATGACAGGGTATGAAAATTAAAAATATAATTAGTCCGTAAGTTAGGTAATGAAAACATATTAGACACGTATTTTTTTATTTTGTCGTATAATAAAACAATACTTAGATAAAACGAATCAAAGTTTAGGAGTGGGGGCTAAAACGTCATTTCTTAGTATAAAATGTACTGAGAAGTGACGTCACGCGACATTTCAAATCAATATATCTTCGAAACTATTCGTTTCTGTGAGAAAATAAAAAATACGTGTCTAATGTTTTTAAATAATCTATCAGACGGACATTAAAATGAAAATTAGTCGTCTACCCTATTCTATATACCACGCTATTCAACACCGACAAAAACTTATATTCCCAAAAGATAGATGTCAGGAAAAGTTCCAAAGAGGAATCATATCGTTGACCTATTTCCAGGAGTTTGACAACGAAATAATTTCCCGATTTTATCGGACATGCAATATAATGGCGGCGCGTCAACTCGCTGGATATCAACATAAACAAATGAAGTTTAACGTCACGGCAAACTGCGTCTTTGTCACAGATGTTGACGTTGGGAAACTAGATTGTGCTTGTTTGTGTATGAAACTGATAACGGAGGATGTTTAACACATTTTGATTCATTCATTTCGCGGAAAAGAAGTCGGTAATGTATATTATGTACCCACTAATGGGAGCTTCCGTATTTTTGGTCAATAGACAGCGCAAATGTATAATATGGTATTGTTGCAAAAAGTTGTCAAGCATGGAGACTGTGATAGCTAATCTTTTATAGAGGAGGTATGTACTCCAACGATCTGTTGATAATGAAAAATTTTGCTACATCCAGTTTCTCTAACATCTATGGTCTTCACGTCATATATTCCAAACTTAAATAGTTCAAGGGTTGTCTGCACCACGTGCGACCCGCGTCAAAGTTCGCGCTGCACAAACAAAAGGCTGTACAAATTGAAATTGGGGACATTTTTATTGTTTCCACAAATGTGGAGGGGAGACAGTGCTTAGGGAAATATTTTGTGGAATATTTGCATTGTGGGGAGCCGCATACGTGATGTGGAATGGTGGTTTGGTATGTCAATCGG